TGTTTCCTCAGATTCCTTCCTTCATTTATTTTTTTCCTTTGGTCTGACTGGCATGTCTGAAATTTGATGGTGTGTGTGGTTGTATTTAAGGGTGAGGTACGGAAATGCTGACAGGATGCCTGTGTGCGTGGGCGGGGCTTCACCCACCTCGACTTCCCCCATCTGATTGGCATCAGTAGTGACTGGGGATGGGTCGTTCCACTGAGGACTCCTCGGATCTGTTACCTAAGGAGTGTGTCTTCGCCCTCTGATTTCAGTATGGTCCTCACCGCTGTCCCCGTCAGTGACTGTTGTCTCTGAGTACAAATCCCCTCAGACCCTCTCTCTTCTGAAAGTCAGTCTCTTGTTTTCTGCTGCAACAGGGGAGAGACAGTTGCCTGGTGGAGGGCTGGGGATCTCAAAAAAGTTAACTGTTTCTTCTCTAAACTTTCAAGACCCTTTCCTGATTGGTCCTAGCCAGGAGCACCCACCCTCTATTTTAGACGTATGTGATGTACCCAGTGCCCGAGACATTTCCGAGTCCTGTGGCTCACATCGGCTTGCTTCTCACTGGAGTTTGCCTGCAGAGCCAAGATTCAGTTTTCTCAGATCTGCCCCATCCGTCACCACCCAGCCGTCTATCTCGTCAGTTTCCAGCATTGGTTGACATCTCTTACCTGCCCCCATTTCCTCTTCTGCGTGTCTCGACTTCGTGGGCTTACATTTTTTATTTCCTTGGAGCCATTTTAGAGGGGCTTGGTGGGGAGCAGATATAAAAGCGTGTGTTCCATCTGCCATGCTGTTTTTAAATCCCATTTTTTAAAAAATATTTATTTGACAGAGAGAGAGAGAGAGAGATCACAAGTAGGCAGAGAGGCAGAGAGAGAGAGAGGAGGAAGCAGGCTCCCCGCAGAGCAGAGAGCCCGATGCGGGGCTCAATCCCAGGACCCTGAGATCATGACCTGGGCTGAAGGCAGAGGCTTCACCCACTGAGCCAGCCAGGCGCCCCTAAATCCCATGTTTTTATAAAGCACAAAGTCTGTGTGTATTTGTAGGTGAAAGATGTCTACGCCAGACTTGTCACCGGAGGTCGTCTCTGGCTGTTGAGGTCGTGGTAGTTCTTATCTTCTTGCTGTGTTTCTCAGAGTCATTTATAATAAGATAAAAACTAGAGAACAATTTAAGTAGAATGGCATTATATAGACGTATCAGTCAAGGCATTTTGTATTAGTTTCAAACCCAAGAATTAGGTTAACCCATAGGAAATCGATGTTTAGTTTTTTTCAGGTAAAACAGAGGGTGAGTATCTGCAGTTTTACGTGGTTCCCTCTGAAGTATCTAACACAAGACCGGTCTGAGGAGGCGTAGCCTGGAGAAGGCAGCAGCTGTCCAGAGAGGCCAGGCTGAAGGCCGGGAGAGGGCGCACCGGCCGTGCCAGGAGGGGCGTTCTCTTGGGGTGGCCACTGGGCCATTGCATGTGCTGTTCCCTGACAGTCGTCCTCTCCGGGCCCCCAGGTTGAAGAGACCCGCAAGCTGGACTGTCTGGGGAAACACTGTTCACTGCATCACTCAGTGTTTTCTCTATAAAGATTCGTGGGAAAAGTTTCTCCCAGGTAAATGGCTTGTTTTTTATTTTAGGAACACAGTGTAGTTATGCCAGATTTTACTCGCCCGCTCTTGGAAGAGGAAGCTCCCAGCCACGCTTACGCCATGGTTCTAAGCCGCGCCGTCCTGAAATCTCTACTTGGCTGGATGTGTTGTTGTCTTTGTATTAGTTTCTTTTCTTTCCCTCCCTTCCTCCCTCCCTCTTCCTCCCTCCCTCCCTCCCTCTCTCCCTCCCTCCCCCTTCCTTCCTTCCTTCCTTCCTTCCTTCCTTCCTTCCATTCATTCACTCTTTCTGTATTAGTTTCTTATTGCTGCTCTAACAAAGTACCATAGACTTACTGTCTTAATACAACATAAATTTATCTTCTAGTTCTGGAGGTCCAAAGTCTTAAGTCCGTTTCATGGGGCTAAAATCCAGGTGTCGGCAAGTGTTCCTTCCAGAAGCTCTAGGGGAGAATCCATTTCCTTGTCTGTCCATCTTTTGGAGGCTTCTGACATTTCTCGGCTTGCAACTCCTTCCTCCATCTCCAAAGCCAGCAGCGCAGCTTCTCTCTTCTCTGACGTCTACTTGCACCTTCTCTGTTTGGCTCTGACCCTTTTGCTCCTCCGTATAAAGACTTCTGTGATTACGTTGGGCCCTACCTGGTAATTCTGGGTAGTCACATACGCAGATGCTCTCTCACTGCCTGCCCTGAGTAGATTTTAGTTTATAGAGTGGTTTTAATTTTACAGCAAAATTGAGCTGAGAGGATACAGATTTGCCATATACCTTCTGCCCCCCCCGCCCCCCGCACAGCCTCCTCTGCTATCAACATCCTGCAGCAGAATGGTAAATTTATTATAATTGATGAACTACATTGACATGTCATCATTACTCCACATCCAGGGTTTCTTTCTTTTTTTCCAAAGCAAAGTTTATTTATTTTTATTAATTTCAAAAATTTTTTTTTTAAATTTTATTCATTTGGCAGCTCAAGTACGGGGAGGGATAGAGGGAGAGGGAGAAGCAGGCTCCCCACCGAGCAGGGAGTCTGACTTGGGGCTCCATCCCAGGACCCTGAGAGCATGACCTGGGCTGGAGGCAGACGCTTAACCGACTGAGCCCCCCAGGTGGCCCCCAGGATTTTCAGTAGGTTCCTTCTTGGTGTTGTACATTCTGTGGGTTTGGGCGAACGTATAATGACGTGTATCCATCATTATGGTATCTTACGGAGTATCTTCTCCACCTTAAAAATCCCCTGTGCTCTACCTATCCTCCCCTTTCTCTCCCCAGCCCCTGGCAACCTCCAGTTTTCACCGGCTCCATAGTTGAGCCTTTTCTAAAATGCCGCAGGCTCTGGAACGTGGCCTTTTCAGATGGGTTTCTTTCACTGAATAGTATGAATGTAAGGTTTTTCCATGTCTTTTCATATTTGATAGCTCCTTTCTTTTTAGTGGTGAATAATATTCTTTTGTCTGGACGACCACAGTTTACTTACCCGTTCACCTATTAAAAACCATCTTGGTTGCTTCCAACTTTTGGCAAGTGTGAATAAAGCTACTAAAAACCTCTCCGTGGGACGCCTGGGTGGCCCAGTCGGTTAAGCTGCTGCCTTCGGCTCAGGTCATGGTCCCAGGGTCCTGGGTTCGAGTCCCGCATCGGGGGTCCTTGCTCGGCGGGGAGCCTGCTTCTCCCTCTCCCTCTGCCTGCCTTTGCATGTGTGGGTGCGCTCTCTCTCTCTCTCTCTCTCTCTCTGACAAATAAATAAATAAATAAAATCTAAAAAAAACCAAAACCCTCTTTGTGCAGGTTTTTGTTTGAACATAAATTTTCAGCAACTTTGGATGAATACCAAGGAAAGTGATTGCTGGGTCATACGGTTAGAGTATATTTAGGTGCTTTTGTTTTTTTTTAAAGATTTATTTGTTTATTTAGAGAGAGCACGAGCCTGGGGGAAGGGGCAGAGGGAGACTCTCAAGCAGGCTCCCTGCTGAGTGCTGAGCCTTGGGTCAACACGGGGCTGGATCCCACATGCTGAGACCAGAACCTGAGCCAAAACTAAGAGCCAGAAGCTTAACCCACGGAGCCTCCCAGGGTCCCTGCCCCGAATACATTTAAGTACTGAATGTACTGTTCTGAGTGCACTTTGTGTTATCATTTTTGCTTTTGTTTTTCCTTCTCATTTTGATGCTGTTGTGGTTGTAGTGAGGGAAAAGCTCGTAACCCCCAGGGTCTACTCTGGGTTGGGAAGGTAGAGCGAGCGACCCCTGTCCTTTCCTGCACCTCCCCAGGTTTACTCTGTGTTACGGGTAAGAGAAGCATTTTCTACTGGTCGTGTATTACCTGGGAATGTGGGAATGCATCCTGGAATGCCAGGTAGGTCATGGACTGTCTACCAGGAAAGCCAGAGGGCCCTTCTGGATCCTCCTGATCCTTCTGGATCACAGTTGCTCAGCCTCGTAATGTCAGCAGCTTATTTTCAGTCGCTGAGGGAAGAGTGCCGCCGTAGAGAGAGTAATCTGATGCTAAATGAGTTTTTTTTCCTCTCTCTGGCGAGGGCTAGAGAAAAGCAAATTGGGGCTTTGGATTCTAGGGAGGAAGGACAAGGTTCGGAGTCCCGTGTGCCGGAGATGCTGAGGGCCTTTGGGATGAGCAGGCGTGCGTGTGCACAGGATAGGATCCCTCAGCGGGGAGAGGAGCAGTGGGGGGTGCCTGGGGAGAAGGAGACCTTAGGTCCACTTTTGTTTTCTCTGGATCTTGATCCTCGGCGGGGGGTGGGGGGTTGCACAGAGCCCCTTCCTTCACTCTCGGGCGCAGCTGTCCTGTTCCTGGCACAGCGCACGCTCTTCTCTGGGGCTGCTAGAGAGCGGCGGGATTTGGGTTCTCGACTGTGTCCGGAAGGCCGCTTTGGCATCAAGCTTGCCGGTCCCCACCAGGACTCTTCTCCTATAGGTGCCGCGCGCCACGATCTATACACAAACATGATTTGTCTGATTGTTGCTGTCTGGGCCTGGAACAATTTTAATTAATGGGAAAATGGTCCTCAAAACAGTGATTAGACCTCTTCAGGTACAACAAGATAAAAGCCTGATAATTTGGATGGAGTACTCTTCTTAAATGTCTATTCTGTGCCTGGCAGCCAATGGGAGAGCCAGGCTGTCCCCCACCTGATCCGAGGAGTAATTAAGAGAGGGCTTTTTCTTCCTACCTCTCCCCGCCCTCCCCTCCCCACTGGAGCTTAACAGGTTGGTGGTATAATTTGGAGACTTTAAGGGGTGTCATGCTAGCGGCTTAGGCAAGGGCCCGGCATCTTCTCTCCAGCTCCCCAGACACTGCCCAGCTGGGTTTGAAAATCAGGCAAGTGAGGGGAGGAAGGAGGTGGTAGCAGGCGAGAGAGGTGACGCTTCCCAGCCAAGTTTGAGAGGGGCCTGTGGCCATGAGCGAGCTGGGCAGCCAGAAGAGCAGCGATGGCACCGTGTCTCGCCTCCTCAACGTGGTGGAAAGTGAGCTACAGGCCGGGAGGGAGAAAGGTGACCCTACGGAGAAGCAGCTTCAGGTCGTCCTGGAGGACGCCCCTCTCTGGCAGAGATTCAAGGAAGTCACTAACGAGATGATTGTGACCAAGAATGGCAGGTGAGTTTCTCGGCCGGCCTGCTTGGGCTGGGAGGGCTCTGCTAGGACGGCGAGCCCCCGACTATCGAAGAGGCTGCCCGTCTTCACTCAGAGGCCGCAAGGGCTGATGACGATGCTCAGAAGGACAGTCTTACTCGGCTTTCCCCAGCCAACTTAATTAATTTCCCGAGATCAACGGAGGCGGAGGGTGAAGCCAGCTTGCGAGCGTGTTCGCCGGAGAGATTGCGGGAAGGCAGCCCACGTGGGCCACGCCCCACGGGTTAGGGAGGTTAGCCTGAAATTACTATTATTTTCTGACTCACTGCCTGTCCTGGAGCAGACCTGAGCTCCAGCTCGGTGCAGATGAGGTGGAAGTCAACTTTATTTGGAAGCTGAGTGTTTCCTCTTAAGCACAGCAAACTTGCCAGAAATCCGGGACCAGCTGAAGAAGGGGAACCAAAGGGCAAACGTCATCTCGCTGCCCATCGCTCCCTCGGCTTCCTGGTGTGTGTGTGTGGTGTGTGCTCGTGGGACATTGTGTGTGTGTGTGATGACGTGAGAGCCATGGCAAGGACACTGCCTGAGGCCGTGGTGCGCTGCCTGAGAAGAGAGAAGACGCCTTCTTTTTTCTCAGTGCGGTAAACTAGACATGAGCGGCAACCCATCTCTGCGGGCCTTGCTTGGGTTCTGTGAGGTCCAGACCTGCGCTGTCAGGGTCACGGTGGGAGCTCTCACCCCAGAGGAAACGCACGTGCTCGGCAGACGGTCTCTCTGCCCGCAGCTTGGCCAGCCTGGCTCCCGGCGTTCAGCGGCTGCTCACAGACCCTTTGGCTCGCAAGGTCAAGAAGTACAAAGGTCAGAAGGCGCCTCCGTGTGGCGCGTTTCCGCAGGGCTCCGGTGCGGCCTTCGGGAGAAATTCTGCTACGAGAGAAAAGTTGAGGCCGGCGGGGTTTCTGGCGAGCTTTTGTCCTTGTGCAAAATGCTTCCTTTCCTGATGCCTTGGTTTCCTATTTTCAGATAAAATCCACACTGTAGAAATGAACCATCCCTTGTCTCTCTGGGAGAATTGTGAACTCTAGCGCTTTTGCATGGCATTGAAGAGCTCTGTGAGGGGAAGGTGTGCCAGAAATAAGGGCATTTCAGTACATTGTTATCACTCCTAGTAGAGATAATATCAAACCTGGAATACCAATCAAACGAGCTTGGTATTTCTGTTTTCTGACTCTAAATGGGTCCCCTACTTGTTTCATATATCGGATTTGTTACTTTTAATATTTGCAGTTGTCACGATCTCAGTGCTTATACATTATTTTGGGTAGAAAGAAATAGAAAATACTTTTTTAAAAAGATTTTATTTATTTATTTGACAGAGAGAGCGAGAGAGCACAAGCAGGGGGAACAGTAGAGAGAGAGGGGGAAGCAGGCTCCCCCACTGAGCAGGGAGCCCGATGTGGGGCTCGATCCCAGGACCCCGTGATCATGACCTGAGCCAAAGGCAGAGGCTTAACCATCTGAGCCACTCAGGTGCCCCGAAAATATGTTTTTTTTTAAAGATTTTATTTATTTATTTGACAGACAGAGATCACAAGTAGGCAGAGAGGCAGGCAGAGAGAGGAAGGGAAGCAGGCTCCCCGCTGAGCAGAGAGCCCGATGCGGGGCTCCATCCCAGGACCCTGAGACCATGACCTGAGCCGAAGGCAGAGGCTTTAACCCACTGAGCCACCCAGGCGCCCCGAAAATATGTTTTTAATATCAAAGAATCAGCCCCACATTTCTAGTTGGATTTACTTCCTTTCCTTTTGCAGCTGAATGATGCTGCGGTTGGAGAAGTTCTGTCCAGTAGTAGGCGGGAGCAACTGTGGTTCATCCCTTGTGTTTAGTGGATAGTGTTTGTGCCAACGTCCAGCCTCACACTCTCCGTTTGGCTGTCCAGGCGCCATCTGTGAGAGTATAATAAGCACAATCACCAAGTAAAAATACAGTCCATCTATTCCAATGAGGAAGAAATACAGTTTCTGAAGCCATTTAAGATCCCGGTTAATGATAGGACACACTGGGATGTTCTATCACAATTTAGGAAGAGCTTTCTCTTGCCCGTGTTCACCTATATCGTTTATTCTGTTTATTTAAAATGTAAAATTCTTCCCGTTTAATGTCCTTCGATATTAAATATGTGAAAAATATTCTGTAGAAACGTCTCATTACAGTCAGGTTGGTAGTTGCTGTGCACAGAGGCCCTGCTGCCGTTTCCCTTCTCCGGTGAACTGAATCTTCTCTTAGTTTCCATTATGGTCTCTGAACCCCTTAGGGTCAAGGTTTTGCCAGGAAACAGACAGGTCCCTTTACGCTTCAGATAAAAGAAGGGAGACGCACGTCTAAGAAATAGATGTGTTGATAATGAATGAGGTTGGCCTGAAATTACTCTCAGTCTCTTGTTTTCACAGATTTAAATTGTTAGCAACTTCTTCCTGTTCTCGATACAGAAAGCTCTTGTTTCCGGTCCCTCTTCTCTTACGGGTCTATTCTTGTAGGTCTCCTTTGTACCCACTGTCCTCCGCTTGCAGACCCAACCCGTCTCCTCCAGATGCTTCACCCCTGCCTTTCACACCAACTCCTGAGCCCGGGACACCTGCCCCCGCAGCCCTTCTCTGCGGAGAAGCTTAACACCCGGCTCCGGCCCCTTTCATTCACATAGCCTGCCGCCCCTGTGGGCAGACTCTGGATTTCTAGAAGCATCAGCGGGGGTCATCAGATAGTTCCTGTCCACTATAAGAGCTTGAACTCTGGGAAACAAACTGAGGGCTGCTGGAGGGAAGGGGTCGGGGACGGGTAACTGGGTGAGGGGCGTTAAGGAGGACATGGGAAATGAGGAGCACTGGGGGTTCCACGCAACTGATGAGTCCCCGGATTCCGCCTCCAGAACTAGGAATGCACGATATGTGAATTAACTGATTTTAAATAAAATTAAAAGAAGAGAAAGTTTTGAAATAACATAGGATGGACTGATGGAAGAGTTCAGTTTGGGTTTCAGAAGGAGACCCGTCGGTGCGTGCCAGTAGGAGGCTTACCTCTGACAGGTCGGAGGTGGGAGAGAGAGGGTCCTCCTGCGCATTATCCCCAGAAGCTGGGATCCTGACCACCTTCGTTCTTCCCTCCATCTCTCCTGCCTCCCCCTCTCCCTCCTTTTCTTTCCCTGCTTTCCCCTTCCCTCTTTTTAAATGTGAGTTTGTTTTCCACACAGCAACAGTTGTGACAACCTCCCTTCGCACCCTCTGTAGTGCGTCTGGCTGGCGAATCCTCCCTTTCCTTCCCGTCCTTTGAGCAGCGAACCTGAACTTCGATTGTAGGTTGAAGGGAAGAAACTAATTTGAGGCTCTGAGGCAAATCTGTGAAATCTCTTGCACCTCTTGTTTTCTTTACTAAAACATCTCCACGTTAGTGGAAGATGCTCTGTTTCACAGGTATTTCCATGCAGTTGAATAATTTCGATTCAATTCTGATCGGATTTGCCTCCAGCAGGTTTTCAGAAGTTGGAAGCATCTCGAATGTAACTGAGACGTCCGTTTGTTATCCAAAAATATGCGCTGGGAATGCTAAGTGGGATTTGCTGGGCGATTCAGGGCAGCGAGCTGATGCGGGGACGGGGAGGCGAGAGGGGAGATGGAGCTTGTGCATGGGGCAAATACATTTCCATGCCCTGTAGCCCCAGACACTCCCCCCAGGTTTACGGGCACGATTCCTGAGGGTCCTCTGTGTCTGTGTAACCTGCCTCTGACCCGCTGTTTCGGCCTCTTGCAATTCTGGGAGGGGACAGAGGAAGGTGCTTACGGGAGCGAGTGAGTTTTACCTTCAAACGTCTCTGCTCCCCCCACCTGCAAAAGCTGCCTCCTTCCTGCAGACCTCACTCCTCATAGCCTCCGTCAGCAGCCCTGGCTCTTGAGATCGCCTGTGAGGAAAGCAGAAGCCAGAGACCAGCCTCCTGGCACCACGGCAGGGAGCTCACGGCAGAACCCAGCCACCTGCGGCTCCTCAGGCTTTCGGGCTTTCGGGGAGTGCCTGTTCCTCCTCCATCCATGTCTGCTTTCCTGGCCCTTGCGCTAGCTTGCTCTCCTCCCCCCTTCTCTCTCCTTCCCCACCACTCCCGAATTAGGGGCCAATGTACATGTTTCTCAGCTCCCCAGAGGCGCTGGGGCTTCTCTGTGGTCAGCCGTCCCTTGGAAAGGAAAGAGGAAAAGCTGGCTGGGTTAGATGTGCAGTTCACCCTGGGGGACAAAGCCGGGCACGTGCTGCCCGCGCGTGAGGGCACGGACTCCCCTGGACAGTGCTCCTGCTCCTTGTGATGTGGAGGATGACGTGGACACGAGGCTCAGGGTCTGGACTTGGCCTAGACTTGGGCTGAGCTCCTGCCCCGGTTACCGGACTCGTGGCAAGGTGACAGACCTCCTTGTTCCTTGCTGGGATAATGGAGGTTAAAAAATTCATAGCGTCTCTTAGCTCATTCGTGTGGTGATAAAAGAACAAAAGTATTTTTAAAATAAGTTTTTTTATTTGAGTAGATAGATATGGTGTTATCTGATTTTTAAGTGTATAACATAGTGGTTTGACAAGTTTATACATTATGCTATGCTCACCACAGGTGTAGGTGTGTAACAAAATAGAAATAATCATAAAATTCTTGGTAGACAAGTACTAAAGAGAATAAAGTAATAAACCATTATGTAACTTTTCACAAAGTTTTTTTCCCCCTTTAAGTAGACTCCACACCCAGCATGGAGCCCAATGTGGGGTTTGAACTTACAACCCTGAGATCAAGACCTGAGCTGAGATCAAGAGTCAGACACTTAACCAACTGAGCTACCCAGCCGGCTCCATTCTGTAACTTTTCAGATGTGTCCTAAAATCCAGAGACTATGGTTTCTTTGTTTTATCTTTTTTTCTTTTCTTTTAAAAAGAGTTTTACTGGGATCATTCCTGTGCCGTACAACTCACCCACTGAAAGCGCGTACAATTTGGTGATTTTTGCTATATTCACAGAGTTACACATATATGCTCACAAATCATTTTTTAAACATTTTCATTATCCACAAAAGAAATCCTGCATCTCTAGCCATCATCCCCAAGTCCCCCCATCCTGCTTGGCCCTGGCACCCACTAATCTTTTTCAGTCTCTGGATTTGCCGACTTGGACAGTTTGTGTGAGTGGAATCATGCAATAGGTGGTCCCTTGTGACCCTTTCCCTGAGCGTCGTGTCTTCACGGTTCAGCCGTGCTGGAGCATTTTTATTGCCAAATCATACTTGCTTGTGTACATGGGCCCTGTTTTGTTTACCCATTCATCAGTGGACGGGCACGTGGGCTGTGTCCACTTTCTTTGCGCTTACGAATAACGCTGTTGTGAACATTTGTGTACAAGATTTTGTGTGTTTTCATGTCCCTCGCATGCGTGTGCAGGTGTGGAATTGTGGGGTCACATGGCAGCTCTGTCTGTAACTGGCTGAGGAGCTACCGGACTGTTCTCCAGAGTGGTCCCACCGTTCCGCATCCCCACCAGCTGTGTTCGAGGCTCCTGGTTTCTCTGCAGCCTCAGCAACACTTGCTACTGGCCACTTTTTAACCACAGACGTCCTCGTGAATGGGAAGTGATTCCTCACTGCACTTTTTGGTTTGCATTTCTCTGATGGCTGAGGATGTTGAGAATCTTTTCGTGTGGTCACAGGTTCTTGAGAACATCAGGTGTGGCTCCTGAACATAGCATGAAAGGAGAAAAGCCATGACACATTCCCTTATTCTGGAATTAAAGGTCATGCTACATTCTTTGTGAGACCTAGCATGATACAGCTAGGAGAGCACAAAATGAAAATCAGGTTTCCCCCCTCATTTTGCCTTAGTCACCCTAATCTTCTCTTTCCTCGGTAGTCCTCAATGGTCCAGGCTTATCTGGACCCCAGGACCATGTACTTGCTGTTCTTTTTGTGTGTAGTTGCTTTTATAGAGTCATTTCCGGCGTCTGTAGGGTTCATTTCTTCTCCTTACTTGGTCTTTGCTTACTGTCCCCCTGGACCTGCTAAGATCCATCTAGAGCAGTTTCTCACTCTTAATTCCCCTCTGTGACATCACCCACTGTTGTTCCTTCATAACACTCTTGCAATTTAAAATTATCTTCTACATTTATTTATTTTTTATTATTACTTTTTTTTAACTCTTTTAAAAAAAAAAAAGATTTTATTTATTTATTTGACAGACAGATCACAAGTAGGCAGAGAGGCAGGCAGAGAGAGAGGAAGGGAAGCAGGCTCCCCGCCGAGCAAGGATCTGGACACAGGACTCGATCCCAGGAGCCTGGGATCATGACCAGAGCTGAAGGCAGATGTTTAACCGACTGAGCCGCTCAGGTGCTCCAAATCGTCTCTTCAGTCTTAAGGCAGAATTAAAGGAAACTTCTTAACATTTCATGCCCTGAAGATAACAGCCATGCCACATGCTTGAGGGGCTGTGTCCTTACTTTGCCAGTTAAGTGTATGACGAAGATGCGTTATATGAGCTTTTTTTTTTTTTTTTTTTTACTTTTACATGAACTGCATATCCTTATCAAGAAAACTTACAGTACGTTTTAACTTCATATGTGAAATTACGATTACACATTTCATTCCTGTGTTTTCTTTAAACCAAACCACACTGGACCAAACAACTTCACCATTTCAGAAAAAGCCATAGACCGGAAATCAGACTGTCTCTCCATGTGCCTCACAGGAACGAGCCAGGCTCCCATCGGTGACAGTGACCCAGTGTGGCCTGTGGGGTCATGTCTGATATCTGCTTTGGTGATTCTTGGCAAACGGCATCTGTGCCTTTCAGGGGGCTTCTTCTTTTCTATACTTGGCCAATATTATACTTGAAAATGTTAAAATATGTTGTGGAAGGGAGTAGTTTCGTCGAATACAACGAGAAAGGAATAGATGAGCTCCTTCTGTTGAAGAAAAAACAAAAGAATATGCAAGGGGATGAATTTCGATGCCACATGTAGCTCCCGCGGGGAGGACCATCATTTTCATCTACAGGAAAGTCACCATCATGTCGTGAAGGGACAGGAGGGAGGAGGTGAGTCACACAGCATCAGGCAGGACCTGGACTCGAGATGCAGGTTTCCCGTGGGAGTCGCTTGTAGTTCACGCACTCGCACTCATCCAACCTCCTATTTAGATTTTCTCTCCTTGAGCCAAGACTGGGGGAGGGGAGAGACAACTCTGGGGAGCCGAGGGAGGGAGGGAGCAAGCCGTCAGCATTCCCATCATAATCCCAAGGCCAGGGGCTCTTTTTTTTTTTTTTTAAGATGTTATTGATTCATTTTTGAGAGAGAGCAAGAGAAGTAAAGAACCAGGGGGAGGGGCAGAGGGAGAAACAAACCCCCCGCTGAGCAAGGAGCCCAATGCGGGACATGATCCCGGGACCTTGGGATCATGACCCAAGCCGAAGGCAGACACCCAACAGAGTAAGCCACCCAGGCGCCCCAAGGCCAGGGTCTCCTTGCAAATGACCATGAGCCAGCCCCGCCCTCACTCCCTTGCACATCTCCTGAGTTTTTTTCTCAAAAGCTAAAGATGCTGTACACCTGCACATCTTATGCGTTAACGTTCCTGTGACTCGCCTGGGGACTTTGGAAAAGCACAGCTTCTGATCAAGCAGGTGTAGCATGAGGTCTGAGGTTCTGCATTTTGAATGACCTTCCAGCTGGTTAGGGACCAGCGCTGCTGGCTCAGGGGCCGCTTTAGCAGCAAGTGTCTAGACTCCGTACTGTTGGCTTCTCAGTTCGGGGATTCAGATTTTAAGAAGTATTGACAAGGGGCGCCTGGGTGACTCAGTGGGTTAAGGCCTCTGCTTTCGGCTCAGGTCATGATCCCGGGGTCCTGGGATCGAGCCCCGCATCGGGCTCTCTGCTCGGCGGGGAGCCTGCTTCCTCCTCTCTCTCTGCCTGCCTCTCTGCCTACTTGTGATCTCTGTCAAATAAATAAATAAAATCTTAAAAAAAAAAAAAAGAAGTATTGACAAATAAGCCAGTGTCTCGGGCAATCGGGTTGGGGGGCATGTCTAGTAACCAGGTCTTTTGAGGATAATTTGGAGCAACTTAGTACACTTGGCAAAGGAAAAACAAACCAGAGGGAATGAGATGCCCAGTGAGGGGCCTCTGCAAATGCGTGAGACCAGACTTGCTGGTGCTGTTCTAGAGGGCGGCAGAAGGACCAAGGAGTCCAGGTCGGTGCGTCTTGAGCTCAAATTCCCACAAAACGCTCAGTGAAAGGATGGTTCCACAGTCATATCAGTTCAGTGTGTGCACAGACCCTACCTTTGCAGAGGTTTGTAGAGCGCATTAGTACATTAAAGGCTCTGAGAAGTCATGCAGGGAAGGAATTGGTCTAACCGTAAAGCCCAGTGCTCCCTCACCTCCTTAACCGTGAAACCACCTGCTCCCTGTTCGTGCTATTACAGTCGTTCCACACTGGTGTTCCTTGTGGGGGAAGGACTGGTTTGTGGTGTTAGTGTGGAGACTGATGTGCACCCAGAGGACGTCTTTGAAGAAAGGTCTCTGTGAGAATGTGGCGTCTGATGACATACTTTGGGCTTCAGCCTCCTCTGTCAAATGATGAGATCAGTGGTTTTCGGACGTTAAAACAGAACACAAGGGTTTAAAGTAAAAACCCCAACATGACATGCATTTGTAAGAAGAGGCCCCTGTTGGAATTGGGGCTGCAGGCCTGGGGCATTCTCTGTGCCCCGGGGCACTCCAGGGCAGGTCTCCCGAGAGTGGAGGGACAGCTGGGTGAGGTGCAAGGTGTCCCACACACATTGACATCCCTCCTGTGACTCAGTTTCTGCCTTTCCTTTTAGACGGATGTTCCCTGTCCTCAAGATCAGTGTCACGGGGCTGGACCCCAATGCCATGTACTCCCTCCTGCTGGACTTTGTCCCCACGGACAGTCACCGCTGGAAGTATGTCAACGGGGAGTGGGTGCCGGCGGGCAAGCCAGAGGTCTCCAGCCACAGCTGCGTCTACATCCACCCAGACTCCCCCAACTTCGGGGCCCACTGGATGAAAGCTCCCATCTCCTTCAGCAAAGTCAAGCTCACCAACAGGCTCAATGGAGGCGGGCAGGTACGACCGGGTTGCCCGGCCATGCGGCCGCCCCACAGCACCAATCAAGAAATATCAAGGGTGCATTTAGGCAATTAGAGGGGTCCTCACCGGCCTCTTCTCCCACGGAAGCCAATTACTCCCTGGAGCCCAAATGTGATCGGGAATAAACAGGTCTTAATTGGCGCTCTCAGTTTTAATGGACTTCCTGATGGTAAGAGCGCGGGAGTGTGGCGGTTTCCTTAATCATCGGCCCTGCCGCAGTGCTGTCCTGTGTGCTGCCTTTTTACCCAGCCCGGCGAGGAGATGTCTGTGGGTCCCGGCTCTGTTGTTCTCTCCTCTTTTTGGTGTAAGTGGCGTGTTGGCAGTAGACAAAAACCTTAATAAAAAGCTGCTCCTAAATGAAATAATTGCGGCTTCCAGCGGGGCATTATGATAATTGTCCGTGGAATATCCGAGCGGCTTTGGGTTTTCAGAAAAACAAACAAACCTTAAATAAGGAAGGTTTTATTTAAGGTCTCCAATTAGAGTAAACAAGAATTCGGGGCTTTTGTCCCTCTTTTGTTTTCTCTGGGAAGACTGCGAATGTACCGTGCCAGGCTGTGATTTATGTTAGAAAGCGCGGACGGTCGCCGGGCGGCCGCCCGTGGCTGGGGGAGGGCTGGCAGCCCCCCGCTGTTTGTGCCGGGAGCCTCGGTCCGGTCCTCGCGCCTCCTCGGACTCGCGAGCTTAGCCTGCGGGGCCCGGAGCTCAGGCCTCGGGGAGGAGATGCGCCGTCGCCGCCCCGGCCGCGCGGAAGGTTCCGGGGCTTTACTGAAACAGGACGTTGACCGTGAACAGTTCCTCCGCCGCCGCCTCACGACGTGACCTGCAGTCGGGCTCCGCTGGGTCGCCGAGAGCGGATGCCGGGTGGCGGGCGGTGTCCGGTGCCCTCTGTCCGCAGGCGGTGACCGCGGAGATGTCAGGTCCCCTGTGAAGACCAGGATGTCTGCACGACCACGTCCTCCTGCCCTGCGTTGTTCTGAAAACAGGGAGGGAGTGAAGGAAAGGGCAGAGGGGCCGGGCGGAGAGCGACTCTCCACAACAGCCTTCGGGCCGGCCGTGGTCACCGCGGGCCACCCCTGGCGGGCCGGGCCGGGCTGCAGCGTCCGCGGGCCTCTGTCCTCTGCTTCTCCCGCCCCCACAGATCATGCTGAATTCTCTGCACAAGTACGAGCCGCAGGTGCACATCGTGCGGGTCGGGGGCGCGCATCGGATGGTGGCGAACTGCTCCTTCCCCGAGACCCAGTTCATCGCCGTGACGGCCTATCAGAACGAGGAGGTGCGCGGGCGCGTGCCGGGGGGGGGGGGGGGGGGCCCCGCGCGGGGGGGGGGGGGGCGGCGGGTTTGCAGATCTCCGAGGTCCCGCAGAGACGCGGTTAAACGGCGGGGTCACCCTTCCCACCCGCTCTTGCGGGTCTGCCAGCGGCCGGTGCTTCCCCTGCGGGCCCAGGAAGGTGCGGTCGTGCGCCGCGCGGAAGCCCCAGACGCCCGGGGTCTCCGTCGTCCGGGCCCCGTGTGCCCTCGGCCGCCCCGCGCGGGGAGCTCCTGCCCTTCGAGGCGAGGAGCCAGCCCCGGCCTCTGCCGTTCGCCGGGACGCCACGACCCGGCCCGTCGGCTCACTCGAGAGCGTCCTGGGCCTGCGCGTCCGCAGAAGCGCTGGGGTGGGTCGGATTCTCTCTGACACAACTTAAAAAAAATTCTTTTTAGAATAATACATGTTTATTAAAGAAACGCCCGCGGAATAAATAAATAGCCCAGAAGTATGTTCAGCGAGAAAGAAAAAGAAGTAGAACTGACCTTCCTCTCTGCGTCTCGACCCGCTCCCCGAGGACAAGACACATAAGAGCTTCGAGTGTGCTTTTCTGCGCAGTATTCGCGTCTGTAAACAGACGTGAGAATGTGGACTTCCTCGCATACATCGGCTCATGTCGTACATGTTAGTCTGCAGATTTCTCTTTTTTTCCAGGCGTATCTCTTTTTCTGACGTACCCACAGAGGACATCCGTGTTTCAGGCCATCAGCTGCCCACTGCTGGGTATTAGGCCGTTCACAGTCGTCTCATGGGCTGTTGGAGATAACGCTGCAGGGTGTGCCCCCGGACGTCCACATCCACTGCGGCTGGCTTGCGTGGGTGAACTCCTAGCAATGGCATTGCTCCAGGGAGAGCATGGGTTTAGGTACCCCCACATCGCCCGGCGGAGAGTGTACTCCTCTCAGTGCCCGCACCGTTTCCAGCAGCTTTGATAACCTGTTAGTGAAGAAAACAAAACACACCCCCCCCATACCAAAATAGACCCAGAAGGTGTCTTGTTGCTGCCTTCATCTGCATTTCTTTTTTAGAGGCTTTTAAAGAATTTGGGCTCCTTCCCAGCTTACCGAGTCTGAATCCCCAGGGCTGGTACCTGGGGTCTAGAGTCTCTAAATTCTCCCCAAAGGATTCTGATGAGCACCTGGGCTTGGAAACTACTTAGGGAAGCTACAGGTTAAACTGAGCTGTTGATTGCACTCGGATCACAGATGGGCAGAGAAAATGTAATTTCTTTCCTTTATGTAGTCTGGCCTCTTGGCTGAGCCCCTCTAGCAGCCGGTGGGAACAGAGGTTAAATATTTGATCATTTCAACAGGTGCTGTCTTTGTAGGTGAAAACATGCTGTGTTCAAGATGGCCCACCCTCTCCTGCTTCTCTCCCTTGGAGGGAGTCTGGGTCTTTGAGGGGGTATGGTTTTGCAACTCTGGAGAGTGCATGTTTGTGTGTGTCGGGGTGCTGGAGACCCTGTCCTAGCTGCCCGATGGCCTGTCTCAGCCTTGATTATGCCCTGTGGGAATCAAGCCCAAGAAAACCCAACCTTAGAGCCTCTCTCTGGTGCCAGCACTTTCCTGCTGAGTCGGCACTGATGCACCCAAGAGGGGGCAGGCCTGTGGGTCAGTGCTGGTCTCACTGTGCACCTTGACCTCTCCAGGTTTAGATCAGGAGAAAGACCGGGACAGGTGCATCAGACCCGCCCTCTTCTGATTTCTTCCCCGTTCCTGGGTCAGAAAGAGTGGTGCTTTTATTTAACTTTTCTTCTTTCTACCAGGCCCTTGCTGAAATAAACATTCTTTTCAATGCTTTTTTATTGAGCAAAGATTTGTTGACTAGGACTGCCTGCTGGGAACACCGCGGTGGGCATCACGGGTGTGGGTGCTGTCCTCAAGTCCGTATAGCCCACGGGGAGGGGCCGTTAGCTAATAGACGTTGTATATGGTGGCCGCTGGCTCCGAAGAGGGAAGCCGGCAAAGGCCGTGGATGGAGTGCCAGCGGCTGGGAGCGATACACTGTGTTTCTGTGACCCGAATCACCGAGGAAGTGATCACTGAGACTCAGGGAGTGAGGCTGGACCGTGCTCTCCGGGAGACATGGACTCAAACCTGCATGACTGACTGTGTTCCTGGTGACTTCTTAGAAGAGTAGCTGACGTGAGGGGCGTGTCCAATATGTTTAAAAAAAAGAATGAATAAACGAAAGAAGGAATGCTAGGGTTAGCACTTCAGGCTTTGCACATTCCTAATGCTTTGCCCTTTCTTTGCTCATATCCCGCTGTGTTTCCCATTTTCACCACGGGCTACAGCACAGCACTGTCAGAGACCGTGCATGAGTAATTTCGTGCAGAACTGAGCAAAGAAATGTGGAGAGGGAGAGCAAGAGAGAGGGGTTATTCCAATGTTACAGAAGTTCCCAGATGAAGGTAAAGGGTTCCGTTCATGTGTGTTCCACTTTCACTAACGCTTCTTGTCTTTGTAAACGGAAGATAACAGCTCTCAAAATCAAGTACAACCCTTTTGCCAAAGCCTTCTTGGATGCCAAGGAAAGGTGAGTAGAGAAATTTCAGTAAAATCATATGAGCTGATGTCTGCAAATGTGAGATTTATGCTCGTCTTGGAAGGAACTTGCATTACCTTTGATAGAAATAGGTTTGTGACATTTAATTCCATATTCAACAAACTCCTAATCATCTGTGCCTGGGAGCAGGGCTCCAGGGGAAACTCTAACTGGCAATGTTTGCTCAGCTCTCTTTTATTACTGATTCTTGAAAGTAACATAGGCAGATGTAAAAAAAAAAAATAAGTGATTTTGCGTGTTTTTTTTTTTTTTAAGATTTTATTTATTTATTTGACAGAGAGATCACAAGTAGGCAGAGAGGCAGGCAGAGAGAGAGGGGGGAGCAGGGTCCCTGCTGAGCAGAGAGTCCAATGTGGGACTCCATCCCAGGACCCTGAGACCATGACCTGAGCCGAAGGCAGAGGCTTAACCCACTGAGCCCCCCAGGCTCCCCGTGGTTTAGTTTTAATGATCACTCTGCCCTTCCTCCAATTCTCTCTGAGTGGTACAGTTTCAATAATTTTTTTTTTTAACTACATGTAGCCCAGGAGAGGTGAGTGATTCGTATAAGTAGGTCATAAAGGTGAGAGCTCCTATCTTTCAGGTCTGAGGGAAGACCATTCAGAGACTGCTAGGGATCTCTTCTGGGCCTTTTGGCTAAGATCAAGTGTAGTTTCTGCTCTTGCCAGTTCTGAGACTTCTGGGATGGTGAATGGTGATGCTACCCCTTAGGCTAGTGACTCCCCAGCTTCGTGTTTTCCTTATCCATTCTAGAAAAAAAATAAAAGAACGATATTACCTAATTGACTTTGATTGGTGGACTTTGTCCTGTTAGTATTTGATTTAACTTAATTTCGGAGAACTAAAGCCAAAGGGAAACCTCAGGTGTGAGATGAACAGGACAAGCAGGTCGTCCTGACTTGGGTCCTGGCTCTGCCGTTCCCTGGCTGTTGGTCATGCTGCCTCTCTGAGACCCACTTTTTCCATCTGCTAAGTGGGTCTAGCAGTATTTTCCTGGCAGGGTTATTGGTGGGTCTAGCCTATCCCAGATTTGCCCGTGCCCCAAAGTCCTGCGCAAACCCCAGATGCTGTTGGCGCTGGAGTTCCGTCAGGCAGAAGCAGTGACCACAAGTGAGAGAGACCCAACTAAGTGGGACAGCGGGAAACAGGGCAAATCGGCGTGACCATAGGTCGTGTTCTGAGGGGGATCGCATGCTAGATAAAGCACCCTGGGTGAAGGGGGGAGACATCTGAGACCAAAGGTGTCTGGTTTTCTTATTCCAAGAAAAGGATTGCTTTCCAAAGGGAGCGTGGAGTAGATGTCCCGCTGGACTTGTGTTCTGCTGGACAGCCCGGGCGCACTTCCCTGTGTTCCAGGAGTCACCTCAGAGACGCTCCCGAAGCTGTGTCCGAGAGCCAGCGCGTGGCCTGCTCTCACTGTGAGTCGGGTGAACGCCGGGTGGGGGGTTCCCTGGGGACCCTGGGAGCCACCTCCCACCACACTCAGACCCTTCCTGTCGCAGATGCTCGGGGACTGTTCCACAGCTTCTCTCAAGACTCAGTAGGTTGTTTCTTCCACTCAAGACCAGTGTGTGCCCTTCCAGGATTCCCAGAGAGAACCAATGTTCCTGAGGGGCTGGACCGAAGCTGGGGCGGGAGATAGAGTTCTCAGACTGGACTTTTCATGTCCCAGAGGCTAAGGACTGTCCCAAGTGTATTCTGGGAGTCTCTCCTGACTCTCCACTCTCCACTCTTGGCGGTCTGGCCTGGGTCGGCCCTGTTCTTAGTGTTTGCCCGTTTTCGAGTTGGTTCCCACCACAATGCTTCAGGCAGGCTCTGGCCTTGCCCGTGGGGAGGACTCTGGGTGGCTGACTGGACGGCCACAGGGTGGGGTGAGTGATACACGGCTGGGGACCCTCAGATATTGGGGGTCCCTCACCGGGCGCCAGCCTCCCCATGTCTGGATGGCGGGGGAGACCCCCTGAGGGAGGAAGGCCCTGAAGCTGCAGCGGAGGCCCAGGCCAGTGAGGTCAGGGTGGAAGGTTAACCCTGGCATCGGAGAAACTTGAACGAGAATCGTAGTGGTTCGCTCGCTCGGGCACCTGCTGTCGTCCTGCTCTGGGGTTCTGGGGTTCTCTTCTGGCTCCTTCCCATAAGCCTTGGCACGTGTTCCACTGCAGAGTGGAAAGGGAACAGCTTGCAGAAAAGCACTTAAAAAAAAAAAAAAGGGAAGGAAGAAAGAAAAGCACTTTTTCAAGTGAGCTGGAAAACGAGCCTTTTGTACTAATACTGGCCCCGTGTGCTGAGCCCCACCTGTGCTAAGCTCTTGTGTTGCCATCTTCTCAGCGAATGTCTCCAGCGTGTCAAGGGCGCAGGAGCCTGGTTCTGGGAGACCCCCTGCCTGGCTTTGCCCACTGGACACCTGCATTGAGAACATTTTTGTTTCTTTCTTTCCTATTTGGGTGCCTTTTCTTTCTGTTTCTTGTCTTTTCCATTCAAAAACAAATTTCTGTGAACTGTTGTATAACCTTCCAGAATGTTCTGCAAGATTCTTATGTCAGGCTGTGCTAGCCAGCTCCCCACGTTTTGCTTCCAGAAGCCTCTGGTGGGGGGTGGTGAGGGGAGCCATCGTGGCCCTGGCTGGGAGTGAGAATTGCAGACACCTTCCCCCTGGGCAGAAAGAGACCCTTGTTCCCGTGAAGCACACTAAAGGTTCCCTAGTGGCTGAGGATGACACAGACATCTGACATCCCCGTCTCAGACTAATTTAACTCAAGTGAGTCAGAAGCAACCTAACTTTCTCATTCCCGTAACTTCCTCACTCGAAGGGTCTTTTGCACAGCTCTGTGCCCGCATTCCCCGCGTGGCTTTCCGAGCCTTGAGAGCAGCTGCCGGCCTTGTCCTAAGCAGCCAGCCACGCTGCTGCCGTGGAAGTGGAAGGGGAGGGACAGCGGGGTGGCCTCCGTCTCCCTGGGGCAGACCTTTAGTGTCGCTCACACAGAGGCGCAGTATGTGAAGGGACTGGAGACCTGACTTCTGATGTGCAAGTTCAGGGTCGGTCCGAGCCTTCCTTTTGTCTCTTCCAGTGGGAGGCTGGATCTTTTCCAACCCGGATGGAGTGTGCGCAGCAGGAACTGCCAATTACCAGTATGCTGCCCCCTTGCCTCTGTCTGCGCCCCACACCCACCACGGCTGTGAGCACTACCCTGGCCTCCGGGGGCACCGGCAGGCTCCCTACCCTTCGGCCTACATGCATAGAAACCATTCTCCCTCAGGTGCGTGGTTTTGCTGATGAAGCCCCTGGGGGTGGGGGTGGGGCTGGTAGTAACAAGATGTACCCGAAGGTGGCATCACTTTCATCAATCGTACGCGACAGTTCTGTGTATTGTGTTTCACTGTCTTATTTTACTCACCAGTAGTTGAGCATATAATCCTGACATTATCCGTGTTTTATGATTTTTTCATAAGACCATCTCCTGGTCCCTGATAGGTGTGATGGGCCTCCTCCCAGGCCGCTGGTGGACTCAGCTTTCAAGCTGCGTCTCCAAAGGCCAAGCTGGGGGCCCGGGGTCCTCAGCTCACCGCCTCCCCGTGGCTCCTTTCTGCACTCGTATGCGCGGCTCTGCCCAGGGCGGAGTGGGCCCGGTACCGGAGGGCTCGTAGGAAGGTCTCTGGGAGCTGGGCGACTCTGCAGCCGGACTTGCGCGTGGTTCGGCTGGGGGCGCACAGGGCCGGCCTCGGGCACGCCGGCAGTGCATCTGCTTACTTGCTTACTTGCGGAGCTGCCGCTGGCCTTGGTGCGCTTCCTTCCTCACTGACCCCCACCGAGCCGGCCTTGGCCTTGCAGAAGCCCAGACCCTTGCCTGCTTGTTAGGTATGTGGGGAGGGAGGAAGGGAGAAGGGCAGCCAAGGGCTGATTTCTCATTCAGTGATGGTGCGACAGAGATTTCCTGAGGGCTGACTGTGTGCTGGGTTCTGTGTGCGAGTGGCTTAGACAAACACCCCCTGACAGAGACTCTGGTCTCCTGTGGGGAGAGCGACACGAGACGACAGAGAGGGGTAAGATTGGTGGCAGGGGGCGTGGAGGAGAAGCGTTAAGTTTCCATCCTCCGGGACGCCCTGAGCTGTCTGCAGAGGGCCTTCCCGGTCACCTGCTGTCTGCGTCCCTTCGCATGCTGCTCCCAGCAACCTTGAAAGCCTCTGCCGGGAAGACATAACGTGGAGCTCCGTGGCATCAGAAGGTGGGCGGTGTTCCCACCGCGTCCCTCCTCGGTCCGCACGGAACACAGCTTCCGAGCACCGCTGGGCCAGGCCCTCTTCTAGCTGGCGCTGGTGGGGGGTGCGGACGGGGATGGGGGGACAGTCTCTTGCATGAGGAAGCTCGGGGCTACAGGACGTGGAAATGACAGAGCGGGCGCACCGCACGAGCCGCCCACAGGGGCTCCGGCTGGAGCTGAGATTTGCGGGACGCGCAGAAGGGGAAAGCGCGGCAGTGGGCGGGAGTGAGGGTGGACGGCAGGGGACCCACGAGAGGCCCGGGGCACTCCAGGGAAGAGTGGTGCGGGCAGAAGCACAGCGGGGAGAGGCCCGGGGTGGCTGGGGGCGGGTCTGGACCGGAGGTGGCGGGGGAGGGGAGGGCGCGGGGCTGAGGCTGAAGCGGTTCCAAGGGCCCGGTCCTGAGGGGGCGTGACCGGGCCAGCCGGGCGTAGGCTCCAGAAACTTCCTCCTCGCTCTCCTCTTCCCCCTCCTTCCCTTCCCTCGTGTCTGCGCTGTTCATGCAGACGGAGGCTTGTAGACGCCGTGCTTGCGGGGTTTCGCGTTACTTGGGGTTGCTGAGAAGAGGAAGGGGCTGGTCCTCAGAAATGCCGTCTGGGGCTCCGGCGGGCCCTTCGGCTTGTGTTGAGGAGACGCTGACCTGCCCCTTCTTCAAGGGGAGAGCGCGTGGTGGTGTGCGTCCGGCGGGTCTGGTCACCGGCGGTGGACCGTCCCTCCCCTCCCGGCCTCCTCTATACAGTGGAGAGGACAGGTCGCTGCGGTGACGATTAAAACGTGAGTGCCAGGTGGCCTACGGTGGACACTCGGTGTGTCTGGGAGACCGTGTCTCTTCAGTTTCCCTCCGCAAGTACCCACAAACTCCCGCACCAGTAGCACAGACAGCGGGTGTGTCGCCGTGAGGCGGGTCCTTGGCCGCCGTCTTTGTCTTTTCTCCGCGCTCTGTCAGCTCAACTGTTGTCCTTTCCCCAAAGTGAACTTGATGGAAAGCTCGAGCAGCAACCTGCCGGTGTTCTCCGGAGCGGACAGCTGGACCTCCTTGTCCTCCACGCCGCACACCAGCATCCTGTCCGTCCCGCACACCAGCGGCCCGCTCAACCCAGGGCCTAGGTAGGACCAGCACTGGCAGCTTTGCTCCTCGGGGGTCCTGGGGGTGATGCGGGTGCTGGAGACCCAAGTCCATTCTCCTTCCGACGGTGGCTTCGCTGCGGAGTCCTTGTCCTGACTCTTAAGCCACTGGCAAGTGCAGGGAGCAAGAGGATGGACTTTCCTCTCCCAGAGACGAGGGAGGGGAAAGCACTTGCTCTGCTGTGTGCTTCGGTGGTCGGTTTTTGAAAAGGGAAAAGACTTTATGGCCTGGAGTCGTTTGTCCTGAACCAGCCAGAAATGGTGTGAACTGTGGTGGTGGCAGATAGACACCGACTGTGGGAGGACGGAAGGAGAAAGTGTCAGTAGATACTGAGAATTCAAGATGCTGGGCTGTCCATGTTGTCATAAACCACCCGTCCTACCAGGGGGACAGGCTGTGGGTGTCCGGCCCGCAGCCCAGGTGACAGAGCAGAGTGTAGCACGTAGGAGCCGCGGTGTAACCTGCACACCAGAGACCGGCGTTTTGTTCGGGCTTCTGGAGATGAGGGGAGAGAGGACAGAAAGGGACCTTGGAGTTTGGTGGACGTGGACGTTAGTCCTGGTTCTGTCACATACTGACTTTGTGTCTTCAGGCAGTTTTCTTGGCCTCCCTGAGCTCCAGCATTCTGGTCGCTAAAGCGGAAACAATAGGGGCTGCTCTGGGTCATGAGGAGCCCAGGAGGAGAAAAGGTTCTAAAATACTTTGTGAGCGGTAACGCGCTACAGAAGCGCCAGCTGTACTTTCAACATAGGTGTGCCGATGGTGAGGAGGTCCAGAAAGGGATTCCACGTGGAAAGGTGGGTCTCAGAAGATGTCCGAGGATGTGTGTGGTTTGCTGGTCTAGCAGACGTTAGGAGATCGTAGCGTTTGGGTCTACAGCACGGCTGCTCACGCTCGAAGGAGAGTTAGAACCACTTGGGATGTTGTTAAAATGCAGGATCTGATGCCAGGTCTGGGTTGGAGCCTGCGATTCTGCCCTTTGACAAGCTGTGGGTGTTGTACGCTTGGCCTTGGTGGTTTTGATACTGATGCTGCCTTGGTGCTTGGGGTCCAGCGCTGTGCTGTCCCACGCAGCTGCCCCGGCCGCTGGTGGCCACTGAGCCCTGGAGACGGAGCCGGTCCCGGGCGGGGGGCGGGGGGGGTGTGCTGGAAACACACACACACTAGCTTGAAGATGTAGCAGAAAACAGCATAAAAAGCTCAACTCTTTTTTTTCTCTTTTTACCTCAAAACCATGTTGAAATGACAATATTTTAAATATGTTTGGTTCCATAAAATCTAACTATAAGCCTCATTTTTCTTTTTCTTTCCTTCCTCCCTCCCTCTCTCCCTCCCTCCTTTTCTTCCTTTTTTTATTTTTGTGAAATATGTAGCTACTAGGCAATTTAGTCTTGCAGTTGTGGTCACGTTTTGTATCTATTGGACAGTGCTCGAGTGGGTTATCTAAGGAAAAAGCGTGGATTTGGGTTGTGGTAGGAGGAGAGACAGTGAGCCCTTGAAGATATTAAGTAACCCCATGGCAAGTTCTGTCCTCGATACTTCATGGAAGTCATTTACAGTATCCAAGACATCCGCAAGGCTGGCATTCAAATTCCTGTTTTACCACTGGAGAAACTACAGCTCGGAGGCACTAAAAACGTCCCGAAGGTCACGCACTGAGTGTGTAATGAGCGCACGGCTTTCCCACCGGGCGGGAGGCATCAGGAAGGGGCCCGCCCTGAGCGATGTTGTGGAAACGTCTCTTCTGGAGATCAGGCCTCAAATCCCAGCCAGCCGAGCTGGCGAACACCCAGACAGACAGACAGCCCCAGAGCCTGGCCTTCTGTGGGTTTCCTCTGGCCCCGGGAGGTCTGTAGTCTCTGGACTGGGGCACAGAGCACAGGGTGCATTTCTCCCTCTTGTTCCCTCAGTGGCGTGTTTAACTGACGACCGGCTCCGTAAAGATTTTGCTAGAGGATAGCAAACGTGCCCAGGACTGTCGGCGTGTGCCGAGCCTCTTCTCAGGCAGGGCTGTATCAGAAGAGGTAGGATTCTAACGTCAGGACGTAGGGACGCCGGAAGGCTGAGAGCGTTGGCGTTTATCCCACCCGCTGCAGCAGCAGGCATGTTCGTCTGTGTTCGGGAGCAAAAATTACGATCCACTGGAAAGCTTTACAGAGCCCTGATCCCCGGGCACAGGCCAGATGAGCCGAGTCAGGTGTGTGGCGGCAGGCCCCGGGCATCGGTGTTATTTCGGAACTTGCCTGGTGATTTCCCGGCACAGCTAGGTTTGTGACCAGGACTTGCAAATGGGAGAGGTCCGAGGCGGTGGTCTGGCTCCAGCCTCTCTGCCGGGGAGCAGAGCTGTTGGGTGCAGCCCGGGAGTGCGAGAGTTCATTACAGGCGCCGCCCTTCCTGGGTGCCACGGGCCGGGCATCGCCCGCTCCCCTCTTCCTCCAGTCGCAGCGGCCTCTGATCCCTGTGCCTGAGGGCGACCCCGAGTCTTGAAGGTGAGGGCGGGAGGCCGACCTGGGTCTTCTGACGCCTGTGTGTCCCGGCTACGCCCCGTCAGCCCTCTTACCCGTCTGAGGTCCCCCTCGCAGGCCTGGCCTTCCACATCCGCCCCGCTTTGGCTCTCCCGGCCGTCCACGCAGGCTGCAGGGCGGGGCTCCCCGAGTGAAACGCTGTGTTCAAAATCAAATGTGCCGTGGCAGGGCCGGGGAAATTCAGGTCAGGGCACCTAATTCCATGCTCCTTCCGTGGCGTGTCGCCGCTCGCTTCGGCTGCTCCGCAGAAACAGGGCCATGCTGTGTCAGAGCCAGAAAGCCGTGGCGAGGCCTGGGCCTCCTGGCACAGTGTGCATGCTGGGCAGCTGGCTGGGTCTGCTGGCCGTGTCCTCAGCATTCTGTGTCTGTCTCCGCAGCCCCTACCCGTGCCTGTGGACCATCAGCAACGGCGGTGGGGGTCCTGCCGGGCCTGGCCCAGATGTGCACGCCAGCTCCCCGGGGACATTTCTTCTGGGGAGCCCAGCTGTGACTTCGCCCCTCTCCGCCCAGGCACCCAGTTCAGCGGGTGCCGAGGCTCTGGGGGAGCCCTCGCTGACCAGCATCGCCGTGTCCACCTGGACAGCTGTGGCCTCACATCCCTTCTCAGGCTGGGGTGGCCCGGGGTGTGGGGGACGCCATTCTCCCTCCTCGCTGGATGGGTAGGCTGGATCCTGGGGGGGGTCAGCGGAGAGCCTTGTCTGTATAGAGCATTTAGAAGCCCCACCTCTGTGTCCAGTGAGTTAGACAGCCGCGTCTCCCCACCCAGTGAGTGCAGGGTGCAGGGGTTCCGGGAGGTGCTTTAGTTTGGTGATGCTCCCTGTTTCTTGTCCCACAGCCGTCTTCTCAGCAGCCTGTCGGTGACATGCTCACGTAACTGGGGTTCTCAGGGCACCTCCCTTGGCCCTGCTGCTTACTTTCAGATGATTCTAGAAGGCCTCACTTACTGCTTGCTGTTCCGTGGAGGTGGTGCGAAGCTCTTCGGTGAGCTCCACCTCTCCCTGCACTGCGCCTTCCTGGCCTCGGGCAGCCCTGGGAAGTCTCTGCGGCCCTGGGGTTGCTGCTCGGAGACCAAGAGAGGGTGCAGGCCCCGGAGCGAAGTTCCCGAGAAGAGAGGCCATCGTGTGTTACAGCAGAGCACCTGGAGTTTAGGAAGTGAGATCGTGTCCTTCCCTTGCTCAGAAACCTTCCGTGGCTCACCATTGCCCACAGAACGAAGTCCTGCCCTGACTAGGAGGACCCCCCCCGACCTCCTGGCCTCAGCCCGCGCTCCCAGCTTCAGTTCCCTTCGTCACCCCAGGAGCGGCCGACATGTCAGCGGACCCTCCCACCTCTCTGCCTTCCCCGTGCCTGAGACGTCCTTCTCTGGTCAGCCCCGTCCTTGTGAATCCTGCCCATCCCCCAGGACTGACCGGAGGCCCCGTCAAACCCCCGATGTGCCTCGGCACACGTGACCTTGCCCGGCTGCCTGCCTTCCCACGGGTCCTGCCTCTGTTCTGGAGCTCGCCCCATCCGGCCGTGTTTTTGTTTGCCTGTGAGTGTGTCTCTCTCCCACTAGACTGTGAGCCCTTGAGGGTGAGGGCTAGCCTTCTGTCTTTGTACCCCACAGCACCTGGAACTGTGCCTTGTCCCTAGTAGGTGCCCAATAAACTGAGTGCAGTTGGTGTGCCGTGCCTGTGTGCTAGAATGACAGCTGTGGGGCCCGTGGGGAGGCAGAGCTCGGAGATGCATGTCAGGCACACGCTAGTAGGTCAGTGTGGGGAGCCCAGTACATGCTGGGTGTTCCCCCAGGCTCCCTGTCTGAGCCACAGCCCGTCTGAGCGTTGGATGCCGTGGAGACAGTGTGGGCTCGAACCGTTCCTTCCAAATACCGCTCCATGGATCCCCTGTGCCACGGTGACCAGGAGTACCTGTTAGAGCACACAGTTCTGGGCACGCTCCGTCCCTCCTGGATTAGAATCTTTAGGGTCCGAGTCCCGGAATCCGCGTGCCAGCAAGTGCCCCGGAGGTCAGCCACAGAGCCAGGTTTGGAGCCGACTTGCCTGGAATAGAGAAACGGAGCGGTAAGTGTTGCAGGAGCCTCATTCCAGGCAGGAGTTCCAGCCTCTGCGTCAGTGAAGGCTGGTGCTACAGCAGTCCTGGAGCCAGTGCGCAAAGTCAGTGCTTCCTCCGTTTGCCTTGTCCCTTCTGTACCGCTGCGGGCTGCGCTGGTAACTCCCGGAGTGAAGTTTCCAGACCTGCGCGATGCCTGGCTCTCCCAGATTGTTACCAGCCTACGGACGGAGTGGTCCCATGGGCGTCCCTGAAGGCGTGGGAGAGGGTTCTGCTCAGAGCCTGCAGGGAGCCCACGCACGCGCACCGCACGCCCAGCCGTAGTCCAGGTGTCCACACAGCACGCCACTGAGTCCTTGGCTCTTTCCCCATGCGAGGGACCCTCACCAGGCTGTGGCTAGCACCGCCTGGTCTTCCGGTTCCAGCCCGTTCTTGGACCCGGAGCTCTGGAAACCATGCCCCTCCAGCCGCGTGGGGCCCCGGGAAGCCGCTTTATGCTCTCGGGGCTGCCTGCCCAGCGCTCCAGGTCCCTAACTGACGGACGAGTGACCGGGCCCAGAGTACCGACACCGCTGCTCTCGGAAAAGCGGCCTGTTCCGCAGGCCCCTGTGGCAGGAGTGTTTTCGGTTCCCTGGTTCTCCTGTGACAGCACAAGAGGCCATTAAGATATTAATATATTAGCATCTCTGCAAGATGCTATTTTGGTAAGTTTGCAAAAATGGCCATTTCTTGTCTAACACAAGATGCTATTTTGGTAAGTTTGCAAAAGCAGCTGTTTCTTGTCTGTTAGGAGTTCAGGCAATGGTAGCCTCCAGCTACCCAGGAGGCCTGGCAAGGGTCCTGCCCTGGTCACTGAAGCCGTTGTTCATGCGTCCGCAGCTTAGCAAGCTCAGTGAGGTCCACGGACCAGTGTCTCGTCTTGCCCTTTCTGCCCCCCTCCCCGCAGCCAGGACTGGACGGGAAACGTGGCCCAGGTCAGAGCAGAGAGAAGCTGATCACCTTCTGCTTTTTCCATTCATCTTGCTCAGGGGACTGGGTCCTCTGCACAGCGACAGCATAAGCCTCAGCCGAGTTTGGGGTGATTATGTGTCACCAGCCGGGAACCCGCAAAGTTGTGAAACACGGAACATGACAGCTGATTCTGCACCGAGGGCCTCTCCTTGCATGGTGTCCCCAGTACAGCCAGAGCCATGTGCTTTCTGGTGGTTTCTCCAGACAGTGCAGGCTCACTTCTGCCTGGGAGAGCAGCCCTTGGTTGCTGAAGTCATTAACGAATGACGGAGTCTGACGTCCTACACAAACTTTGGAGCCTTTGTACCAGCTCCTTGCTCAGCCGCCCTCTTTCCCCAGCTCATGAACAACACGGATGCCACACCAGAGATCCAGGCCTGTCACGCTGAGTTGTAGAGAAACTTAAATCCCACCCGAATGAGGCACGTGGGCGGCTCAGTCGGTTGAGCGTCTGGCTCCTGGTTTCGGCTCAGGTCGTGATCGCAGTGTTGCGACACTGAGCCCCGCTTTCAGCTCTGTGTTCAGCATGGGGTTTGCTGGGGTTCTCCCCTTTTCCCTCTACCCCTTCCCCCTGCACTCTGTCTCTCTCAAACCAATAAATAAATCTTTAAAAAAATAAAAATGAAATAAAGAGCTAATACAATTCTTTGAGCAAAGCCTGTTCTGTGAAGGTGTCCCCCCCCGGTCTGTGAAGGTGTCCCCCCTGGTCTGTGAAGGTGTCCCCCCGGTCTGTGAAGGTGTCCCCCCTGGTCTGTAAAGGTGTCCTCCCGGTCTGTGAAGGTGTCCCCCCCTGGTCTGTGAAGGTGTCTTCCCTTGTGGGACCTTTGTTTGGTCTGTGTGGCTCCACCAGCCCTCCCCTTTCCAGGTGAGTCAGCCTTGTCACCAAACACCTCAGCCCAGCATACCCAGGCCAGGTGCTTCCAGGTGCTTCCTGTCACTCAGTGGGCCACCCAGGTTTGTTAGCACACATGACTGGTCTAGCCTAGAAAAGGGACTGAGATCATCCCATGAGGTAAAGACTTTCCCATTGGAGGATCCAACATACTGGCTAGATCCTGTGCGAAGCCCAAGTCCCGCTCCAGCTGGACAGACATCTCTGCCCGACTCGTGGAGACTGTCTCCGTGCCGTGCAGACGCGCAGGGTCCTACTGGGGACGCGTTCACTGTCCCACTGCTCGGCTTGTCTGCCTGGTAATGCCTCATGCATCTTGGTTCTTAGGCTGCGGTTAGGGTCTTGGATCTCGAGTACCACAGTGTGCAGAAGGGGCTGCGAGGGAAACCCCCGCTTCCATCAGCAGAGTCGCACACAGATCCTCATCGGCTGGCAGTGGAGGGAGAACGTTCTGTGAGGAGCGGCATTTAGATCTTGCAGCTTCTGGGTTCCTGATGCCTCTTTCAAAGCACCACAGCCTCCGCTGCACTGGGCCCTGGGGCCGGCTTGGGGGGACGCGTGACCGCTGCGCAGGGATCCTCAAACCAAGCCGTGGTGCCTTTTTTCCTGATGGCTTTGTGCCCACAGAGGGAGGCTGAGCATGGCAAGCCCCTCCGTCCGGAGCACTCGCTGGAACTCAGCTTCCGATCATGGGCGTCTGCTGGGAAACTACTTGTGTGGAGCTGTCAGACTCCGTGAGTTCACAGATCTCAAGCGTACATCTTGGTGAAGGTTTGCACGTATATCTGCTTGTAAAACCCCCAGTGAGATCAAGACAGAGCGTTTCCACATCCCGAAGGCTCAGCCCGAGACAGACACTCGCTGGTCAGTCCGGTGCGCGTCAGTTGGGCTCTTGACCTTCATGAGTGGGAGGCGGAGGCGGAGACTCGACCGTGTCTGAGCGCTGTGTCTCTGGTGCCCCGTCCAGCTCCCGCCCAGCCCTCTGTTCTGCAAGATCGTCCTTTCACTCGTTAGTTAAAATACCCTCAGTAGATAATTCAGTTCTTTGATGTCCAACCCAAGACTGATGCCCGGGAGAAAGAAGGCACTTTTCTTCTGTGGTTTCCCACCTTCTCCCTGGACCACGAGCAGACAGACTGTCCACCTCCTCGCTGAGCCTTTCTCTCCCTCCCCCCGAATGACAACGGTGTGGCAAAGCCGCACGGTGAACCCACCCTGCACCCTTCTGCTTCTTTGGGACCGTTGCAAGGCTTGGGAGGCACTTATAGGGGCCGGTTCTCTTTCCAGATGAGAAGACACTGGTTTGGCGCCACCCCTGCGTGGAGTCGGTCGCGGTAGGTGGTCTGAAAGCCCATGAAGAAGGACCCCCGGAAGTATGGACGTCTGCAGCCTGGCCGACTCCAGTTTTTTTCCCCCAATTTGTGTTTCTTTTGGGTTAGGACAAAAACCCTTTTTATTATGTAACTATTATCTGTGGTGAATAAGTCAATTTTCTATTGCTTACGGGGCTGCAGGCAACAGGAATTGTAGTGTTGGTCGGCCAGCAGTTAAAGGAGTTCCTGAGAGAAGGACGTCAGCTTGAGGCGAAGAGGTTACGGACGACTGCGTGAAACCTGGCTGACGGCTGGTAGCCGAGAGTGAGGAGTCCCAGGACCTGGGATCATGACCCGAGCCGAAGGCAGAGGCTTGACCCACGGAGTCACCCGGTGCC